ATTGCATAGTAAAACTTACTTCTTAGTATAGAGTTTTTCCAAAACCTAAATCTATTGTTAAAGGTTTTCCTTTCATTTTTATACTAATGAATTTTCTAATGTGTACAAATCCAAAAAAGATATATTTTTCCATTATGTCAAATTGCAAAACAAAAAAACTTTCTATTTAGAAGTTTTATATCAGTTCTATTTCCACTTTTGTTTAGGGACTCTATTGATTTTCTAAAAGCAGTTATGTGATTTGAGTAAAGGTAACCATGGCCTCGAATGTTTGTAGAAGTCCTGATTTAGGTCTGCTAGTCTACTGTAATGGTTAAGAGCAGACCCTTTCTTATCAGAAGTTTTCACTGCTGCATGACCAATTATATATTTAACATACACTAGGTAGTTGATACTGACATTCAGGTAATAATTTCATGTTTTCTTTACTCCTGGAGCAAAGGCTCATCTGAATACAAGTGCCCTAAATATATACTTCACATTTGAGCTTTGTTACTATTTGAAATTGACCAACTTTAATTGATTAAAAAAAAGAAAGTGATCAAGGTATGACAAGTGAAAATATTAAAATCTTGTAGACTTACAATGGATATACAAAATCATTTTTTTAATAAATTACAGTGGATCATTATATTATGCAATGATAAAAAACAGACAAACCTAATGTATATCCTTTGGAATAATCCTTACCATTAAGGAATTATAAATAGATTAGATATAGATTATATAGATTATAGATAGGAAAATTTGCATTTCAAGTACATGAGAATTTCCCAAACAGAAAGACAAAAGTCTGATTGTTCCCCTTGCTATTAGCACTTCTACCCATGGGAACCTCTCTTTTATTTTATTTATTTATTTATTTGTTTGTTTATTTATTTATTTATTTATTTTTATTTTGGTACCAGGGATCGAACTCAGGTCCTTGTGCTTGTGGAGCAGGCAGCAGAACCACTGAGCTAAATCCCCAGCCCAGGAACTTCTCTTTTATAAACCCTGGTCACAGCTGCCCCTGAATTCTCCAGAGACCCTCTTTAGATCTCTATTTTTAGAGTGACTTACAAAAATTTTTGCTTTTCATGTGTTAATTGACCGACCTACTGTGTCAGCAGGGATTTTGTCTTATTTTTTATAAAACTAGTACTTTCTCCAGTTTTCCACCTCTCGAATAAATATATGAATAAAGAATGAATAAACACATGAAGATAAAGTAAATTTTCATGTAGTATGACTGAATTGGGAAGATGGTAATCAAGCATCCTGGGTACACACTGAGGTAAGAAGAGCCATGGTGTTATAGTTCAGCAGACCATGCTTTCCCTTAGCCCCCTGAATATACTTCAGGAAGTTGTCTAAGTTGTTGTGAACCAGTCATCAGTAAAGGTAGTCTCCACACAGAATTTAATGTAGAAAGCCACAATCTCTTCTGAGTCTCAATGTGGAGAGTACAAATCACTCCAAAATATTTTTTAACACAGAAAAACTCCTGTCACATGTGAATATATCATAAATATTAGTACATTTTTAAAAGTTACAATATATAATTGTTCTTTGTAAAAAGGCAAAGTACAATCATAATAACATTTCTCTTAATGTTTCTATATATGACCATTTTTTCAAGATAAATTTTTTTTATTCTTAAGTTCTTTTATTGGTACATTTTAGGTATACAGTACATTTACATTTATCATTGGGTACTTGTACCTGTACATGATGTATCTTGGTTCTTATTTTTTCCCCTTTACCTGTGCGGCTTTCACCCCCTCCACCTTTGTCTATTTACGTAGACTTCATTTCCATTTTTTTCCTTTTCTCACAATTTTTCCTTTCCCTTCTTTCCTTTCCCCTTCCCCTCCCATCACCCCTATCCCTTTGGACTTTTCTTCCTATTTCAAATTATCAATTATTCGTTTTAATCATTTTAACCCGTATTTACACTTTCAGTTTATCACACTAGAGAAACTATTTGGTATTTACACATGTGTATTCTATGTATTTCACTTAAGAGTATGGCCTCAATATGCATCCATTTAGCTATAAATGACTCTAGTTTCTAGTTCTTTGTGGTTGAGTACTACTTCATTTTATAAAAACACCACATCTTCTTTATCCAGTTTCCAGTTGATGGGCATTTGGGCTGTTTCCAAGCTTTAGCTATTACAAACTATAAACATGGGTGCCGCTACAAACATGGATGGACATATATTGCTGTGTTATGATTCTTTTGGGAAGATACCCAGGAGGGGAATAGCTGGGTCAAATGAGACCTCTAATCTTAATTCTTTGAAGTATCTCCATACTGATTTCCACAGTGGTTGCACCAGTCTGGACTCCCACCAGCAATGGAGAAGGGTTCCTTTCTCCCCACACCCCCACCATCATTTGTTATTGTGTGATTTCTTGATAGCAGCCATTCTTTCTGGGGTGAGGTGGAATCTCAGTGTTGCTTTCATCTGCATCTCTCAAATGACCAGTGATGCTGAACATTTTTTCATATATTTATTGGCTGTTTTTATTTCTTGTTCTGAGAAATGTCTGTTCATTTCAGATGCCCATTTTTGAATTGGGTCTTTCAATTTGGGGTATCTGATTTTTTTCAGTTCTTTATATATTCTAGATAGTAGTCCTTTGTCTGAGGTACAACTGCTAAAAATTTTTTCCCACATTTGTAGGTTGTCTCTTAGCTCTGTTAGTGGTTTCTTTTGCAGTGCAGATGACCATATTTCCAAAACTACTATATAGATTTAATGCAATCCCAATTGAAATTCCAAAAATATACTTCACAGAAGTAGAGAAAACAATCCAAAAATTCATCTGGAACAAGAAGAGACCTAAAATAGCAAAAGCAATTCTAGGCAATAGAGACATGGCAGGGGGTATCACAATCCCCAACTTGAAACTATACTACAAAGATACTGTGATAAAAACGGCATGGTACTGGGAAAAGAATAAACCTGAGGATCAGTGGAATAGATTAGAAGATACAGAAACAACTCCAGACACACCCAGTCACCTCATCTTTGACAAAGAAGCCAACCACCCTCTCTGGAGGAAAGATAGCCTATTTAATAAATGGTGTTGGAAAAACTGGATTTCAACCTGTCAAAGACTAAAACTAGACCCATACCTATCACCATGCACTAAACTAAGATCAAAATGTATTAAAGATCTAAATATTAAAACAGAAACACTAAACTTGCTGAAGATAAATTAGGTGGAACTCTTGAAGATATTGGCATAGGAAAAGACTTTATGAACAAAACCTCAGTATCACAGGAAGCAGCACAAAGAATCAACAACTGGGATCCCATCTTATTAAAGATAAATTTTTTTTCTAAAATATCCAAAGCTAGTTAATTCTAGGTGTAGAATTTGGAATTAACAAGAGAAACTTTTGTTTTCTTCCAATCTTCAATTTAAAAGATGGAAAAATAGAAGCAAGACTTTTTATTAAAGCTTTTTAAATTTTATTTTGTGAATAAGCATTAATTTTAATTAAACAATATAGTAGCTAAATGAATGAATACTATCATAATCAGCATACCTAAAATGAAGTAAACAAAAAATTTAGTGTAGCTGAAATAATACTATTTAAGACTCTATTTTGTCCCAAGAATTTCCTTTATAGGAATTTAATGTTTCAAAATTTTTTCTAGTGGTTAATTAAACATAAAAATCAAGTTCCTATAATAACCATAAATTTGTAAATTTTTGTCTTTTAATTTTTAATAATGTCACTATTCCCTATGTAATCAGTCATCATGGGTTGAATCAGTCTTTTGTTGAAAACTTTCCTCAGAGCTTTCTTGGAAAGAACTAGGCAGAAAATTAATTTCCTATTTGAGAGAATTCTTAGAATTTAAATAAACCTATTAGTTGAAACTAAACCACAAAATTAGCATATTACTAATCGCTAGGTTTAAACAGCTGGGAAACAGCATTGGCTATCACCCTGGTCATCAACACGGGTGGCTTCTTCCCAGGCTTGAGTTCAAGGTATGGTTTTTACATATGGTAAAGTCACTATAATTTCACACATCTATTTTCCAACTCTTTATAAGTACATTGTATTTATAATTTTTCTATGTTTGGAATATATTGATGCATTTTTATGATATACGGGCAGCGTAAATAAACATTTGTAGATTTTGATACCACTTAAAAGCATTGGGTGAAAATAGACATTTGCAAAGCCCAAATCTTTTTCTTATAATTTTGAAACAATAATAGCTGAAAAAAATAGAAAAAATAGATAAACATTGAAAAAAATAGATAAATTCAGCAATCTTGGGTTAAAGAAATTTAAGTCATTTTTGTTCATTCTATGGAAAGTTTTTATGCAAAATGATTTTTGATTTTGATAATTATCATAGCAAAGACCATTTTGGCAGAATATCTCAAGGCCCTTTTTGTTCTATATTATTTATCTATATAATGAACTGACAGCATATTTCACAAGGAGTGGAATACTTTAAGTAGATTTATAAGCAAAGCACTTTTTCAAAAATTTTCAGATAAAAAGAAATGGTGCCTCTCAGTGGATTTTAGATAATTGCCCACTTTAGCAAATCTGATGATTGGAAGTAAAAGCTTTTATTCTTGAATTGTGTTTACATTTTGATGCTTCTTCTTCTTCTTCTTCTTCTTTTTTTTTTTTTTTTTTTGGTACTGGGGATTGAACTTGGATCCTTGTGCTTTGATGCTTCTTTATTCCTATAAGGAGCCCATTATTACCAAATTAAAGACCAAATGTCTTATTTTAGAGTGTTAGTGAATAAAAATGTTGCTAAGAAATTGCTATTTCAAAATAATATAAAAACTCAGAAGACAGAAATGATAAATATTTATTTTGAATAGCAAAATTTAAATTTACTTTTCAAATGAATCCATTTTACCATAATTTGCCCCTTTGTTAAAAAATCAAGGATATTTTCATGAAAGAAATTTTATTGTAAGACCAACTGTTTTTCCCTCATCCTCTCCTATAGGACTTGACAACCATGAAGCTTCTTGTCCTCTCCTGCCTTGTGGCTGCTGCTGCAGCCATGCCTGTAAGTACAGTAAAGGACCACAAAAAGGCAGCATGCCATTCAGAAATGGCCTGGTAATCTTACAGAGCATGAGACACTGAGGATGAGGGCCTTAATGCGTTAGATGATCTTTCATCCGCTGTGGAAGACTCAACACTGGATTGTGATGACAGTAATTATTACAGAGTCTTGCAAAGTTGTGAACACCAAATAAAATATCTAAATGGAAATATGAGTGCCCCACAATAAAACAAATTAAAAATATGAAAAGAAATAAAGTATTGTATAACATAACAACTAACATCAAGTAATACAATTAGGTTTGTTTCTCGGATCCACTGTGGAATTAGCAAATTTCTAATAATGTTATAGGTATCCAATATATCTTTACCAATATAACATAAAGCCACAAGTTCTATTGCATTTTGCTTTTGGAACCAAAGTCAACCTTCATCCTGGCCAAAGAATAGAAAACTATTCTCCCAAAGAAAATAATAAGGTATTTGTTTATGCCACAACTTAACTGTCCTTACATCCTTTCTCTTCTTTTCTGTTTTCCTTTCCTTTCCTTTCTTTCCTTTCCTTTCCTTTCCTTTCCTCTTCATTTCTCTTTTCTTAGCTGCCTTTCTTTTGGTACTGGAGATTGAACCCAAGGCATCTCAGCTCTTTCTCTCTGTTCCCCTGCCCTCTCTCTCTCTCTCCTCTCCCTGTCTTTCTTTCATTCTTTATTATTTTGAGCCAAGTTTTCACTAAATTGCTAAGGTGCCTCAATTTGTCTAGAATTCACAATCCTCCTGCTTCCAATTCTCAGAGTGTTAGGATTACAGGTGTGCACCACGATGCCTAGTTTATCCTTAAGATAAATCTCCACAGTGAAAATGCAAATTGTGATTATTTTTACATTATTCAATTGATAATAAAAATAAAATCCAGACAAAGATTTAAGAAAGTACATGTTGCCCTCAAATTTTTATAAGGGTTCAAAATCATTTTAGGATTATCAAGTAACTTAAATAGCGTAGAAAAATGAAGTTGGTTTCACTCTGGATTAACTAGAATAACTCAAGGCTTTTAATAGACATTTTACATAGTTTTCTCAAATATCTGCCATACTTTAAAGAAAGAATAAGTAAACAGGTTTGCTTTGGTTTTATTTGTCAATAAATTAATTAGGATTGTTTGTTCTTTTTGCTCCCAGGAAAATTTATCACTGGCAAATTTTCTTTTATACACTTTTTAAAAATACATTGTTAAAATTAATCATATTATATGTGTAGTGTTATATTGTTACTGCCACTTTGATTGCTTTTTAGTTTGTTTCTGTTTTATAATTCTTGGATTGTTTTCACAGAAGTTTCCTTTTAGGCATTCAGAAATCTCTCAAGTAAGTATTCTACCCTAAATTCCAAGAATTCACTCTCATGTTGGCTCTGAGTGGTGATTTGTGACAGCACAGACTCCAAACGTGTTGTTCCTTTCTCTATGAGACAGGCTGTGTCCCTTTTGGTAAGGTATTTTTTCAGCTCAAGAACTGACTTATTTACTACTATTCTATACTATGGACTACTATTTACTCTCACTGAAACACTAAACTTCTTAAAATGAGAGTACACATAGATTTATGCAAACTTTTTATATGGATAAAATATTATCATTATTCAAGAGAAATAATTAAGCAGAATATACAAACATGGTTTATTTTAAGGTATCAGCTTCTTTCTGTTTGTTTTACATGCCCTCAACTATCTGATTTATAATTTCTTAATTTTTTATACTGAATTTTGAGTTAGTTTTATCATATCCTGTTACAAGGGCATTAATAAGCCATTCTGCCCAGTCACTGAATAATGCTACTTTTTGGTGTTATTTTTCTTTGCAGAGTCAGCAAGACAGCAGCAGTGAGGTAAGTCATCTGCCAGGGACTTAAGGGTCTCTCTTCACACACACCTGAGCTGTCTCTCAGTCATCTTGGGTATTTAATGTCTTCTTCACTCCAGTTTTTTTTTTGTGTGTGTGTGTACCGGAATTACTCTCTCAGTTCTATATTCTTGAAATCCCTAGTTAATGTTTTTAGACACTTTAGTAATCATGGTTTTTTTCTCTAGGCTGGGTGAAGAAAGAACTACTTAAGGTGTCTTCTTTAGATTTTAAAATTAAGCTATAAAATTAAACTCCTGATGTTTTTCTTTTATCTGTGAAATCCTTCTGGTTTATCAAATTAAATGGAACATTAGTGTTGAAATGTAAAAAAACTTGTTCAGTTTTAGCATGTTTATTTTCTTTCACATTTTAATGAAATCCCAGTAATGTTTTGATACATGCATACATTGTGTGGTATTTTTATCACTTTTGTAATTCACAAGTTAATTTTAACAGGAAATCCTCAAAGAAGATAAAATTTTCAAGTTTCTTCAGGTAAGTGCTATCCATTTACTCTTAAAACACAAACATTTGTCTAGGAAAATTAACTTAATTTTCAATAAAAATGTTATTTTGCTTGAATTGATCAAACCTTCCCTTCATTAAGAGCTGCTCTAAATTTTAATTTGCATCTAAATGTTTGCCTCTTTTCAAAACATATCAACTTTCCTCTGCATGCCCTATCTAGAATTTTACAATTTCCATATTGATTACACTGGAATATTCCTTAACGATAAACAATAGCAAAACATATGTTACAGTGTTTATGATTTTGTGACTTAATTGTTGAATAAAAGAATATCAAATTTTAATTTAAGGCTATTATTTAAAAGATTTAACAGATAATCTAATTTATATGAATGAATTTTAACATAACTTTTTTTTTTTGCTGTGTGTAGCCTACATCACTGGAAATTAGAAAGGTAAGAATGACTTTACAAGATTTACTGTAGAATTAAAACAGGGGAGCAAGTGTTAAGATCAAAAGACCTGGAGACTGCATAAAACAAAACAAAAAGCAGAGAAAAAAAAGCTGAGTGGAAAGGATTTTTAAATATGTTAAGTGTACATTTACATACTGAGAGCTCATATAGAAACACATAACAAACACTTAAAGTTAGAAATGATATAACAAGAAATATTAAGGCTTTCATGAAAAACACATTTATTTTTAAATTTGCAACAGCATCATATGAAGTACACGTTAATATAAGTTTTCATTCATGTATGTCCTTTTAAACTAATATTGTTAAACCGGGCGTGGTGGCACAGGTCTGTAATCCCAGCACTTAGGAGGCTTAGGCAAGATTGCCATGAGTTCAAGGCCAACCTGGGGTACATAGTGAGACCCTGTCTCAAAAAAAACCAACAAAAACAAACAAAAAAACACAATGTAAATTAATATTGTTTATCTCTTCTATCCCTAAACGACACATCAATGAACTGAAGGTTAGAAACATCAATGAAATATGAATTATTCTAAAAGACTTTCCTTCTAAAAGTATAGGGAGGGGTTGGAGGGGTTGAAAGGAGGGCAGGGTGATGGGGAAAAAATAACAACCAAGATGGGTTGTGTAAAGGTGCAAATTTCCAAGGTCATTATATTGTGTACCTTAAATGTACCAATAAAATTCATTCTAAAAAATAAAAAGAGAAAAATATAGTTTGCAAGCTACACTTTCTTAATTTTAGCAGAGAGAGCTTCTGAGAAGAAAACAGAGTGAGGAAATTAAGGTACCAATTTTTTTTCTTAAAATAATGCCATAAAAGTATATATTCTTCTAGTAAAAACTGATGTTTTTATTGGAAAAAAATTAATTTTATGACACTTATTCTTTCCCTGAACTTCTCACCCATACATTGAAAATAACTAGATAATTGTGCTGAGCATCCCAAGACTACTTATTTTATTGACTTGACCATGTAGCTGTAAGGAGGCAGGTGTTAGAGTGAATAAATAAGTGAGTACATACATAAATATAGTTTTGCCCCAGCTGATTGTTTGTACTTATTTCCAAGGACTCACGAATGTTTTACATAAATGATTTTTCTTTCTTTAAATGTATCTGTTTTGATCAGATTGCCTAGTAGTTTATGAATAGATTTCTACTGAGAGATTAATAGTGTTCAGAATTTATAAAATTTACAAATAATATCTTCATTGTATTTCACACTGCTCTTTTCTTGGTAGGAAACTAGCAACGAGTCAACTGAGGTAAGACCCTTTGTGTTGAAATCGTTAAACCCAATATAAGGAAAAGTACCAACCGAGTGTTTCCTTTAAATACTTTCATCCAAGTAAGCAAAAATTCTCTTACAACTATAACAAATGTCTTTAATTCAAAGAAAGAAAAACATATACTGTATCGTATATCGGGCAGAATTACCTAGATGACTAAATCAAAACTAATCTATTGAATTTAAGTTCTATGGACAATATCACTACTCTTTACACCACTGAGGACAACATCCTAGGGGAAGAAAAGCCCCTTTGATTAAGTATTTATACATCATTGAACCAAGGCTTTCCATTGACAAACTTACTATCGCATAGTTTTTAATTCAGTGCTTCTGCTTAATGTCCAAAAGCCAAATATTTTTTTGAAAAAAACTTGTTTATATTGATTTACTACAATGTAGAAGTATTGGAATGATTTTTATTAAAATCTTAAATGCAAATTAGAAAGTTAATCCTTCAGATAGTTTAAAGTAGCCAGGCTTTATCAATTTGCTTATTTCACAGATACTGCCTTAAATTTTTATTGTCCTCAGCATCTATTTTATTTAGAAATGGTTAAATTTTCATTTCACTATTTTCCATGAAAAATACAATTGCTTCTTTTTTTTTTTAAGGAACCTATGGCTAACTCTGAGGTAAGACATTTTCATCTAGTGACCTCCACATTTAGGTAACATGCTTAGGACCTGCCATATGCTTCATTTTAAGAAAGTTGTCTTCTCAGATTGAGTAAGGTAAAAGATTGAATTTTGAAATATTTTACTTACTGAACTTTCAGAGGTATTATACCTGCAAATGTAATATATAGTGCCAAAGTTAAAATTGGAAGAAGGGATTTAAATGATATAAGTGAAAACATAACTTACTTGTTAAAATGCAAAGTAAAAACTTTATTTCTGACATCTTCCACCAAGAACTCATGCCTTCTACCATTGAGGTCAGAAAGAATCAATACAATCATCACCAAGGTCCTATGGACTACTCTCCTCTAAATATGGGGCAGAAATATGCCAATCTATTGTGTATAGTTAATCAGCTCTCTCCAGAGACAAATATTAAAACCGATCTCTTCAAGTATGTTCTTGGAAAAAAAATATGTTCTTGGTAGCAAAAATCATAACTATGTAAATATAAACGTGATTTAGAAGAAGTACACATTTCAAATGCTAGATATTTTGAAACCCAATGTAAAATTATATCTTGAGGTTGTTATATTTAATGCTACTAATTTATTCATATCAAAATAGTTCCAAGGAAGATGAAAATAAACACACCTTTTATCACAAAAATATTTATATTTTTTTCATTCTATACAGTGACATTTTTGTGTTTAATGAATTAATAATTGCTTTGAAGTTTTAAATTCTCTGCTAAGTTGTTAAACTTTCCCTCCTCACATTTTTCAAGTGAAATTGACACTTGAGAAAATGTACCAGAGTGGCCTTGAATGTTTTTATACAGTTCATTTCAATTCTCATTCTCTCAGATATAAACAATCTATATTAATGTATGGAACTAAGTTTCCTTCAGAAAGTTCTAAATATTCCACAAAAGATCATAACACTGGTTTTGTTGCTCTTAGCAGAGAGACTCTAGCAGCAGTTCATCAAATGAGGGAAATTAGTTTGATGTTAATTCAGAGTCCCAATTAATTAGAAGATGTTTATATAAACTTATGAGGGTTATTACATACCCTCTAAGGTCCCACTGTATCAGGTACTATGTATTCAGCATTATCTTAATTTTAGTATGCAATTATCAGCTCATAAAAAAAAAAAGAGTCAGCAGCTTTCTATCAACAAAAATCTTACAAAATTATTTTGAGGCAAACAATCCTATCTGGCCATGTGTGATGTTGTTTTTGTTTTATTCCTCATCTTAGTTTTTTTCAGATTTTGGATGAATACAATCTTATCACCAAAAATTCCAACAATGACTATACTTCTGATCACTGATGTACACATTTTATATTGTGTAAAAATAAACTGATTCTAGCTGTATCTAAAGCTGTAATCTTCTAAAGACTGATCACTGTTGCAGCTGAATCTAGAGAAAAAAGACAGCAGGCATAGCAGATGATAAGGTTCCTTTTTGATTGTGAGAGCAGACTTTCACACAAGTGACAAAAATAAACCAGCCTGACCAAGGGGAATTTCTATCAAACCAATATAGATATTTACTTCCTGCCCATCTCCAACATTCTGAGTAACACCCTGGTGAAAGCAAGAAGCAGAAAAAAGACAAGAAGAATGTAGCAAGTGAAACAAATTATTAATCTCATCATGGTTATCCAGGAGGCTGTGACTCAAATCAGTTTACTAGAGTTATGCCATAATAGTAATTACTGGATTAGTATTCTTACCTAAATATGAATTAATAAGTCATGGAATTAAAAGTCATAGTATTAAAAGTGTGCATGTTTTTTTTCTTTTTTATAGGAAGTTGTTCCCAGTAACACTGAGGTAAGATGGATCAGCTAAATTTAAAATAAGTGAACAAAATAAAAGATACATAATAGGAAGTAGGGAGATAGATCTTTCTCAAAAGGGAAGGGGCTCAAGAGATGGAGGAAGGAGGGAGAGGGGAAGGGAAAGGAGAACAAAGGAACTAAGAGCTGTTCTGTGCCTGGACCAACTCCACACAAGGAATGCAAACATTATGCACTGCACGTGTGCACTAATGCAAATAAATAAATGTCAGTATTATGCTATTATCTAGTGTGTCAGAATTTACTTAAACAACCTTTGTACATATTTTTTAGCAGAAGTGCACTCCAAGGGAAGACATGCTCTACCAACTGAACCTGGTAATCCTTCACTAAACGGTTATAAAAAACAGGGACAACAAGGAATACATGAAAATGCTGTGATGATAACTTGTTTCCCCTTCTCAGTGTCTGCTAGAGTTTAATTCTTAGTAAATAGTCTGATTCTAGATGTTTAATCATTGCCTTCTGAAAGGAAAGCTAGTAACATTTTTATCCCTAGTAGACAATTCATGATTTCAATGGACTATTTTTTATTTTATAATCACACTTTGCAACAGCAAATCATAAGTGGCAGTAAGTATATGGATTTGGCCAAATTTGAGTTTGACTTGACCCTCTACTTTTTTATAACATGTGACATTAGTGATTGATGTACTAGCCAGAAGTCTATAACTTAAGTTCTAAAATGAAAGTAATAAAAAATTCTAAGTTATATAAATTAATCATAGCACATAGTCATCTCATTAAATGTTAGTATTGTATTAGAAACATCGTTTTAAAACTTGATTCATAATAATATTCTGATTTAGTTTTGAGAATTAAATTTTGACTGTTAGAAAGCAAAAGTGTTTTCTATATTTTTCATGGTAATCCTGGAATAAGATATCATGTAAGATAGCTGCTTGATAGTTTACATCTGACTGCATTGCAATTTAAAAGTTTTTAAGTCATTTTTATAATGTTTTTTAAAAGGAATCTCTAAATTAGCCCAATTTATTTGTGTAAAATAGTGCAAAAGTAGGACTAACAGTTCTTCTTTCTTTACCCCTGGAAAAGGTATTTCAGGATTCATGATTTATTTCCTAAAGATGACAGATTTGTACTGAAAGTTATACAAGAAGTTGAGAATATTTTTTCTTTTATATAGGAGCAGCCTCATAGACTGATCAATTACAGACAACTCCAGCTGGTCATATTTTACTTATTACAATAAAATTCAAGTTGTGTAGAATTAAAATAAATTTTAAATTGGATGCATTCTAAATATACTTTATTTTTCTCAAGAAATTACTTACTTTAACCTTGACTATTAATAATAATCAACAAATTAGTTTTCTAATTATCGATGTATTACTGACAAACCTTTTTCTTTCTATATATGCCTGGGCTATTTATGCCTGCATATGATACTCAAAATTTCTAACCAGGGAGAAATTTAATCAGATTACATTCTATGTTGAATCCTGGTGAGTCTCCTTGATGATATATTATATTTAGGACTTTATCATGGAGTTTATTTCCCCAAGTTCATTGCTTCTTGAAGAGTCCACAAATACGACATGTGCTTGTCTGTGAAAGAACAGATAGGTCAAATGAACTTTCTGTTTGAGAAAACAGTGCAGATTCTAGAGACTTCCTCAGTGATGCAAAATATGAGAATTGCACCTGTCAAAATTCTCCCTACCCTCTCATCAACAGTTTCCATTCTTTTTAATATTATAAAAGTTTTCCAACTGGGAAGTTAAAAGAATAATTTTTTCATTTACTACATAGTTTTTGCCTAATTAGGATTTTAGGAAAAGACTTGATTTCCAAGTTGGAAAAATTTTATAGTTGCTTCTATTGTCAATAAAGAGGAAACTCAATCTCAATACTTCTTTTAATTTAGACCAAAATTGGTATTCTAGTGTCATTTTTCAATGTGTTTAAAATAAAGTCCAAATAAACTTAAATATGTCAGTAACCAGCTAGGATTCACAGTCATTGCCCTGAGACACTAAGTAATGATTTTTATTCCCCTAGTTATGCTAAGTTAGACTGTAATCTCCACAAATCTTAGAACCACACTGGGATTGATGTACTTTTTATAGTATTTCATAGTTTTGTCCCTGGGCTTAGAATAGTCTCTGACTGAGTGCAGGTACCTAGTAAATGTTGGTTACACAAAATGAATAAAATCAATATACTAAAATTTTTTAAAATGTATTTTCTTTATTAGGAAGCTGGTTGTGGCCAGGTGAGATTATTTATTAAGCTAAAATATTTTAATATTTCTTTTATGTGTTGTTTTTATAAGTTATGCTTTTGTAAAAAAAAGTATGCTCTGTATTATTGAAATATGGTAGCATTTTTTTGAAATTCATTGAAGATAAAATTTATATAATGATAGTAAATAGCCAAGAGCAGAAAATACATACTCTTGGAGTGTTGTTAGATTATTATTTAGCTCCAAACACTGACACTTATAAATTCTTTACTTTTTCAAGCTATGTAGTGACCTTAGCCTCCTCTAGCTGCCTATTTTTTTTCAAAAATTAGAAAGCAAAAGTATTTTAATGGCTTTTAGTAATCTCAATATAGACCACAGTTAATTTTAAATTTCAATGATGATGATATACTCTTGGTGTATTGCAAAACAAATGTGCTGTACCAGAAGATTGTAAGTAATTTAAAATGCATTTTCTTTCATACAGGAGCAATTTCACAGAATAAATGAATACAATCAAGCCCAAGTGGTAATATTTCATTTATATAAATTTTGTTAAGTTTATATATGTTTTCTCTTAAATAGCCTCCTGCTCTTAAAGAGATTTTTTTTCTTCTCAAGCAGTGTTCCTCTCTCTTGATTCCTAAAATCTGAATGATGAATGCTAACTATTGTTGTTTTTTGGAGTGGCAACTGTTCTAATCTACCTCAGCTAATGTGGGCATCACATTTATAATCACAAGCACTATGATGCATTAATTGTTATGTTTACATTAATATAGTTTTAGCATATTTCTTAATTTTATAGTTGTATGTATAAACTTGTCTGATTCCCAATTTCAGTGTACATTTAAGAATCCCAAATGCAATTATAAATGTCTCCCTTAAGCAGGGCCCATTGGACTTACTACTAGACATACTTTTCTTTTGAAGAAACCGTCTAGAGAGAGTATCTCTGTCAAAGCATTCTGACACCATTTACTCATATGAAGTGAGTTCATGAATAACACCAAATAGGCAGTGATTCTTCCCCTACTTACCCTACCATTGGTTCTTCAGTGTTCCCAAGGCCCCTGATTTCATTTTTAAGGTAATAGCCAGATACTGTGAGATTTGTTGCCATAACAATTGTGATTCCTGTGCATAGCTTAGGCCAATTTCATACGAATCACAGAGCCTTTTAACCAGTGGTCATCATTTAGTAAATCCTAAGATTCTTCCCGTGTCTTAGAAGAAAACTTGTTTCTAGGTAATTAAAATGCAACTGGAAACTAGCATCAAACCAAAATTTCTACATGAAATTCATTTCAATTAGATTATTTCTTCTGTCTCAATGTTTCATTAGTCTACGGGGCAATTTAGATTTTTCTTTTTCTTCCTAGGGAGTGCCTATGAGGGTGGCAAATCAGGCTTATGCATGTGTCTGTGTGTTTCAATATTGCCCCAATACTGTTCTTGAGTAGCCTGTCCTTATTAAGAAATTAATATACTCGCTGCGTCATTGACTAATACTCTTCTGGGTTTTTTTTTTTTTTTGGTACCTGGTATCGAACTCAGGACCTTGTACTTGTGAGCCAGGCAGCAGAGCACTGAGCTAAATCCCTGGCCCACTTCTGGTATTTCTTAGTTGTTGATGTATGGCTCTCCAGTACTAGTTCTAACATTGCTGCAGAAGATCAAGTCTAAATTGCCAAAGAAAAATGAGGGAATTCTTTGGCCATCCCTAAGTAAAGGTAGCTTCAAGCCAGCCTATAAGTCAGAAGAACTCCAAGTTGAACAGTCTATTTCCCAAATTTCATTATAGCACTGTGTACTGAAAACAAGTTGGGTTTTAGTCTGTGGTCTGATGCTTCCTAATCACATGATATTGAACACATTGTATATTCTCCTTGATCTTTAGTTTCTCAATTATGAAAAAGTTAATAATAAGTGTCTATTAGTATTTTCCCTTGCTTCATACTACAAACTACCTCAAACTACCAAACAATGGCTTTCCATTGCTTTAGTGTGTCTTCCCTTCTAAAGGTAATAACTGCATTTAATTCAGTGGCTCTTGGCCACTGATGATTCAATTATACAAGTTACATATGACATGTTAATAAAACCAAAACATGGGAGAAAGCCATTGAGTTTTACATACATGCTGATACATAAGATTGGGGGAAAAAGTATTCCCTGAGAATAAAACCATCAAGCTTGTCAATCAATTTTATGATAATGGTTCTTCAAAGCACATTAAATTTTTTTTAATTTTACCATTTTTATTTTGTGTTATAAATGTTTTAATATTAAAACATACAGAGTATTTGCTTGTATAGATATGAGGATATAAGATTATTGCTATTTATTCCTTGTAGATGACTGTATCTCATAGAGTGGCATTTATTAACTAGATGAATTTAGAATGGTTTAGAATGTGGTCCTTAACCTTGGGTATTTAAAAATTTGGTTTTGTTAGCATGCAAGTTTAGTTTAGATATACTCACAATTAATCAAACTCTTGAAAGTGATCTGTACGAAACAAGTATTCCAAGTGAGTCTTGATTTACAATGAGAAATATAACTCACATGGACTAAAATGTGCAAATTAGATGATGAGCACTTTTCTTCCTTGTACCTAGACATTTGTCATGTAAGTATAACCTGAAGACTATTTAAATAATGTAGAGCCCCCTAGTGATTAGAAACCATAAAATTCTTGTAGTCACTTGCTTTGTTTTTACTTTTTATTTTTTTTCTTCTTTTTCTCCTCCTTTTATTCCTCCTCCTTCTGTTCCCTTTATCCTTTTTCTTTTGGCAAGGATATATTTTATTGTATCTCTTAAATATTGATGACAGTAAAATTACAAATTTATAGTGGCTTTCATTACAATTAACTTTATCAGTGAAAACTTGGAAATTATTTAAGTTTTCAACAATAGGAATTTGTCATCTGGGCCTTTTCTGTTACTATTCCAATCCCTTTCCTTCTCCTAACTTTATCTTTGAATGTTTTGCCACTAAAAGATATTATCATATTTATTTACAGTGAATACATTATGTTTCTATATATCCAAAAAATTAGAATATTACATAATTTACATGCTGAAGTTTAGTTACCAACATACTTAGAACATCTTTGTGTATCACTGATGGCATACGAGTATCATCTTGATGCCTTTATCATATTCCACTGTATGGATGTAACAAAAATTCTTTCAACTAAGCACATTAAATTTTAACCTCAATTCCTTCTGAAATCTCCCACAACTTTCATTGTCAAAGTAAAAGAAAAATACAAGTAATTATTTACTCCATTTGAGGTCCAAAGACAAAGTGCATTGGTTTCAACCTTCCATATCATTCTTTAAAACAAGAGTATGACAACTATATGTACTTTTTCCTAATGGGGGGTTTTGGTAGCAATCATTTAGTTGATCACAACATTTAATTGCATGTATAAAACAAAATTCATTGTTTCCTGTGTACCAAGGAACAGGCTCTGTTCTTTGTTGAAGTGAATTGACTATCATATTTACTTTTATTTTATCTAAATATTTTAATAAGTAAAGGGAAATTTTTGGATATATTTGTTTTTTCCTAATTTCATCAAACAAAACATGTCTTCCACCCCAACATATAATTATGTATATTAACCTAGGAAAAAATAGATGAGGCAGCTATTCTAAAATTGAAGAAGGAAAAGTAATATTTTGTTCCCCAAGCTCTAACTCAGGAAGTCAGTAAGAGAACAACCAGAGAATCATTTCCTTTCTACTTCCAGCATTTCTGAAATCCAGCTATACTGACCTGGGGTATGATGCCCTTCTTTTGACCTGAGTGTATTGCATATAGATCTAAACTACAAAAACTTTCTTTCTAGTCCAAAAACCCATTAGTTCATAAAAAGTAATAATGAAGTTCACTCTACTTCTTTCTTCTGGGCCATGGTAATTAAACCTTTGTGAGTAAAGCAGGGACATGTACTTCGGTATCGATTAGTGACTTTAAAAAGTGATAAAACACTCTGATTCTTAGAGATTTAAAACAAGGATTGCTCATACACTATTGTCTCAATGTTTCCCTCCAGCCTTTCCGACAAGTCTACCAGCTTGATGTCTATCCCTTTGCTGCTTGGTACTATCCTCAAGTCCAGTATTTATCTTTCCCACCCTTCTTCGACAATATTCAGCCCATTGTCTCTGAGAACATTGAAAACACTGATGTTATGCCAGAATGGTTGGTAAGTTCTTTAAAATTATTGCAATTTGATGTTCTACTAGAATACATAAAATACATAAAAAACTACCTACCACTCAATAAGATTTATCTATAAATTAAGATATAGATAAATTAATTTAGAATAAAGTCAGTAATCTGCATAGTACTATACTAGAATCTTCTGAAATAGAAAGTTGGCGATACTTCTTGCCATCTGAGGCTCACAGGAATTTCTCAGTAACTAAGGCAACAGCAATATGTGTTTTGTAAGTCAAATTCATTGTGATGAGATTAGGAAAAATTTCCTGCCCAAATTAAAAACATAAAGATATCTGATACATAGTTCAATATTATCTTCCTTTAATTTGTACTAAAGCTTTCTGGGAAAAGGGCACAAGCTTTGATATCCAGGAGCACTAAATTCAAGTTCTGATCTCTTTGTTTAGTTGAAATTTTACACTTCTTATTTCTTATAATCCTGAAGCTAAAAAATGTAGCAGTCTTTGCTGAATAGAGTATTGGAAAAATAGTGACTGAATAAGGAGTAGTCATTTTTTTTCTTGATTTAGTAAAATTATGCTGTCCATTGCTTTTATCCCATGATTTTGCCAATTCCTGTTTGTTTTTCAGAACTAAGACAGTTCTCAGGAGTTTCATTATGTAACTAGGTAATTGAAAACTTCATGTCTTGCTATTGATCATACTTCCATTAAAAATTTTGATAATCACAGTGCATTTAAATAGCAACTAAAAATAGCTTCCTTTTAACTAATAAAATTTATAATATTAGAAACTCCTATACAAATATGGTGTGGATGTTACTAGTTTTTCATGAAAATTTGTCCTTTGGTTTGCACAAAGGACAAGTTATGTCCTTTAAACACAACAGTGGTATTCTATTCTTTATGATCACTTCAATAGAAAACTGTAGCAAGTCATACAGTGAAACTGTGTGTCAACCACAGTGAAAAGATTTACATATTTGCTTTAATTGTCTTAATCCATTACATTGGGACTTCTCTCTCTCTCTCTCTCTCTCTCTCTCTCTCTCTGAATATATATGTGAGTGTGTATGTCTGTGTGTATGTATTTGTTTCTCTTTTCCAGAAGTGGAAATGTCCCTGCCAATAGATCAAATTAAGGAAAATGCTAACACTCTGATCTCCGTGGAAACCTCTTATTTTAATTGCCTTGTTACATTGTCTATGATTCCACAACATAAATTACTACTTAATAATAAATTGTCTTTAATTCCTACAAAACAAGAATAATGTCTGTTTATGTCAGAAATAATTGAGTGAACTGATCTAATATGAAGAGAAAATGATTAGTAAAATGAATATAAGAATTTCTCCTCTCCTCAAATACTTAACCACATATTTCCATTTCTACTTACAGATGTGACTGCAACTTCCTTCTTAGAATTTCTTTGCCTGATCATCATGTGAAATAATTCCAAAGATTTGACTACAATTTTAGAATAGGAAAACGCCCGTGGAGGGCAAAATTTCTTCTTTCATCTACTGTATATTAAATATCATGGCACCCTTTCCTTGGGCTGAAATTTCCTAGATAGCTATTGTCTAAATTTTAGTCATGTCATGCAGATAGGGAAGGTATTAAAGCCTTTACTAAGTTTCTATATAGGAAATATTGTTTTGAAAGGCTTTGAATTGCTTTTACTGTAAATTCCATCATTTCAAATAACTGTGTGCCCTTACTGAGGTCTTCTCTTTCTTCTTTTCATTTGTTTTTTGGTTTTTTGGTACCGGGGATTCAACTTGGGTCCTTGCGCTTGCGAGGCAGGAGGTGGAACCACTGAGCTAAATACCCGGCCCTAAAACAGATAAACTAGTTTTGGGGGTTTTTTTTTTTGGTACCGGGGATCAAACTCAGGACCTTGTGTTTGCGAGGCAGGTGCTGGAACCACTGAGCTAAGTCCCCGGCCCCTCTTTCTTCTTATCAATAAATTACATTTTAAGGCACAGTCCTTGTTTTCTGGTTATTCCATTTAACAATGTTTACATAATCCTGTTAAGAGTCTATGTATATGATATTTTATTTTAATTTACTTTTTATGAAACTTTAAATCTTATTTTAATAAAGACCTTTAAAAATATTCCCTTCTGCCCTTTGCTGGCAGGCCATGAAAGGCACTTATAAGCCAGGTACAGAATCTTCACTTGTTTTTAGAATAGTTTTGTATGGCCATAGTTACTGTTGCAGAAAGAAACAGCAGTGGGGCAGCTGAGGCACACTGGGAACTTGAACAACCTGGTTACACTGTTTATTAATGTCATTGACCTGTTTGAATCAAAACTACTTGATTATACTTGAGAGTATGGCTAGAGAGTTTAGATAAATACACAGGGCAACTTAAGAAACATAGTAACCTGGTATCTGTGATGTCTGTTCCAGGTTTTCCAGAGCCCAAGCAGGAGATTTTTCCCAAAATGACAATAGTTAGTTGCTCTGATATCTTCAGAGTCCCAGATAAAACTTATTTTATTCCAAGCTTCCCACAACAACCAAACTTCATGACACTGCTGAGTCACTTGTTTAGCAGATGGTAATATATAAGCAACTAAGCCTCTAGCACCAAAACTATGTTAATCTAGAGAGCCTTGGGTGATATTTTATTTTGTTTTATTCTTTAGTTTTTAAATCAGAATGGATAAAATACATTTACCTGATCACTTTCTATAAAACAAGCACTAAAAATTTACCTGAAAATAGCCATCTTTAAAATGTCATCTGTAAAAGGTATCATCTCCTCATTAAACTTGCAATAATCCTTTGTTATTTAAGAAGCAACTGGAAAGAATATAATTCACAATACTTGCATCTTTAACTCTTTAACATGCACTGCAATTTCACCAGGGATGCAGTACACTTTTAAAATTTATTATTTAAATATAGAAGAAAACATAATAATGAGTTCTAGTGAGTCTTTTTCTATCTTCTTACTCTAAACATCAGGGAAGCAATATTCCATTCAAACCATACACTCTGAACCGAGGACTTAGCAAGAATGGTTTAGACCAGTGGTGACAAACTTATGACATATGTGTTGTTTTTCTTTTAATAAAAAGATGTTAATATATGAGTTGTTTTTTCTAAATTAAAACCTCACTATTAAGATTTAATTGCAATGTTGGCACTTTGTGATAAATGAATGTATTTGGGGGATGCAGTTTGTGCCCTCAGTCTCTAAAATGTTTAGACCCTTACTGACCTTAAAACAGTGATGGTAAACCTTTTAGAGCTTTCTTTGATAATAAACAACCCGCTGTGGCATGCTCCCTTAAAAGGAGGTAAACTCTGATGGCAGCACCATCTACTACTTGACTCAAATCTCATTATGAACATAAGATGGTCAAGACAGTCTTCATTCCAGAAAACTAGTGGCAAATCAGAGCATGTATCCACAGGTCAGTACCTTTGTCAGATAGGCCTTTTCTCCAGGTAAATGCCAAAAATGCATAGGTCAAAGGCCAGTACCAAGATTAGAAATAAAATGGTATGGTAAGATCCTTCATACAGAACTTCTCCCTTCAAACAAAGGATACAGTAATACAACTGACTCTTATTTGGAAATTAGAAATATGGAAGATTAATCTTTCTGATTTTAGATTGCATCAGCAATCTGGTCACTAGTTATGGATACTTTTCCATATTAATTCAAAGATCACTCTGGCATTACCGCTATCAAATGTTTCCTGGAGACATGATGATTAGTCTGACACAAAGATAAATTCTAGTCTGACCACTTCTCATACAATAGATAACACATCAATATTTCTGAAAATTATAGTTACCACCTTGTTTCAGGAGTTTACCTGTTACCATCTGTGTTTAATTACTCTTAGTCATAATTACCTTATGACTTCCCTGAAGTGACAAATTTCAATTGCTGTTTGCTTCTCACTAGACTTTTCAGCCAAAGACAGTTATGGAGGACAGACTCATATTTCAACAGTATTCCTCATCGTTACCTATGCTTTATTTGTAGACACATGAAGGAATGGACCATTAGAATTAAGCATAGCTATCAACAAATGTTTTTGAACTTTTCCCTTTTGATTATTGTTTCTAAATTATCTTGCAGTCTTCTTTCAAAAATGGTTGTGAAAAATGAGCAGTGTATGCCTCCCCTTCCAATCCACTCTTGCATTCAGGAATACAAAAGCTAATGATACTAGATCCTGAGGCTGGAGGAGAAACTAGAAATGTGGACTGGTATGCAAATTTTTCTGATTTTAAATATAGTATAATTGCTTTAATATACAACAGATAGCCCTGTGCTGAAAAAACTAAAATGTGTGTGTCAAATTCAGCCCTACCTCACCAATTTATGTGCTCTTTTGTACATTAAGGGAAGAAATTTCTATGATTCTTTTTCTACTTCCAAACCATGTCAAGGTTGGGTTTGGTTATGGTGAAGTAGCAATGAGAATGGAAAGTAAAATAACCATTACAGAAGAAAAATGAAAGGATCATGATTTTAGGCACAGTGGGAACAATTTTAGGAGGATTCGGGGTTTAGGAGTTGTCTAATTCTTCCATATCTTCCGGTGATCTTCCAGTGCATTCCAGACTGAATAACGGGGATCACACTTTAAGTTTTGGTTGAAACCTGCCAAGTACATGAACTCAAGTGTCATTTCAGTTGCTGTGGGCCTAAGGGTCTCCAATATCCATATGGTCAAACTTATTATCAAGGCAATGGCACTGGGAGTTGGGGCATTTGGGAGGTAATCAAATCATGAGAGTGCAGCCTGGTGAATAGCATTAGAATTCCCTTAAGAAGAATAATCCATGATTTCTCTCTCTACCATGTGTGAGACACCACCTGTCTGCAAACCAGGACGAAGACCTTTACCAGATGCTAGATTTGCCTTTGCTTTTATCTTGGACTTGTCAGACTCCAGAGCTATTAGAAATAAATGTTTGCTTTTTTAAGTTACCCAATCTGTGGTATTTATTATGGCAGTTTAAACTGTTGAAAACACTACTTGTGTAATTTTTTAAAAAGTCAATTTCAGCTTTTTACTTTAGAAATTTAAAGTCTATAACTGCAAGCAGTGAAATTGTATGCAGATTCACTAGTATGGTATAAAACTGTGACATAGAAAAATTTGATTTTATGCTGTCAGGAGTGTTACAGTTCCAAGTGACAGAAAATAATCTTTATCTCAACTTAAGAAAAACAAGAAACGCACTAAACTTCTTGTCAATAAAAGTTCATTTAAAGAGCTTGAAGGTGACCATTTAGTTCATTTTTTCTCCCTCACTTTTCTCTGAATTGTCTTAATTTGTAGGCTCTGGCTATGTCCTAGGAAAGGTGGTCTGGCCACATTGAGGCTTTCTGGTCACTTGTACTCTGCTCTCAGGAGTGACCACACTACAGCCTCTCTGCATGTCTACATCAATAGAGAAAGCTAATGGGTTCTGCTTGGCTCAAGGGACTTTCCGTGAAGGACCCCATTAAGCAATTCTGGCCTGAAATATCTGTCCACTTATGAAACCAAGAATTGTTGAAATTTTTCTACCTAGTAAGATACACCAAATTTCTATTGTAGAATTTCACAAGTAAATTTTGGGCATTATTTGATCTCTACTATTTAATTTAATTG